CTGTCATGTGCCTCACAAGCTTTATTGTTAATTCAGTCAATCAAAATTAAACTGTGTAACGCTTTTAGTGCGAATGACCTAGAATGTTAGCTAAGGGAATGTCTTCATCTTTTGTCATCAAAGAGAAAATACTTGTAAATCAAATGAAGTCAGAGAAGCAAACTCGTGGAAGGTAAAATATTTGGACCAGAAGGGACTGGTTTTAAAAGAGTGCTTTGGATACATAGCAGCAAAGGTAAAGGTGAAATGGCTAGATGAAGACCAAGGTGTTTAAAAGAATGAACAAAAAATTAATGTGTGTGTGTTAGAGCAGCAACATGATTTTATGGAGTAGGCTATATAAGTAAAGATATGTAAATGTATTTAAGCAGTGAGGCTGGATGCCGAAAGAGGGGAAGGTAAGGAAAAACTGGAAAGTGGTTAAAGGAAGTTTTAGAAGAGAACTGTGACAAGATACTTCCAGCTATGTAGTGAAGATTTGGAAAATAATGAAAATGCAATGAAAAACTAAGAGCACAGCTGAAAGCTGTGTTGGCAGATGTACAATATCAGTATAAGGAAATGTTCTTCAGATGTTTATTCCAGGGCCGCCTGGAAAGGTACAGTCAATACAGATTGAAAAGGCCTTGTGAAAGATGAAATTAGGCTAGATTTCAGCTATTGCTTAAAAATGCCTCCCCTTCAGTCCAGCAGAAAGTGGAAGTAATATAAATGTTTGGATTTTCAGAGAATCATGACAGAGGTATATGACATAATAGATAAATAATAGTCTAAATGATACTTGGTCTTTTAATAATGTAGAACTTTACAGTTAAACAGTGAGCTGAACATTAAACCCGCCAATTTTTGCATGATAATCTCACAAACTTTATATATTGACTGCTTCTCTGGAATGTGAGCCCTGCTCAATCACCATTATGAGATATCCTTTAAATGCATCACTATTTCTTTACCTGTATCCATGACTTCCTCTACTTCCCACTTCCTTCTGAAGAAAGGGGTAAGGATCAGAACATGATCTGATGGGAGCAGAACCACGCAGGTAACCATAGCCAGGTCAAAGTCCAAAGTACTTTGGCCCTAGGAGAATCGGTGCAAAGGGACAGTTTAACTGCCTGTCAGCAATAAAACAGGGAGGCAATATCTGGTTACTGTGACCCTGGAGATGGAGTCACAAACATAGGTGAGCAGGCTGAGAAGCTGGAAGTGTGGACAAAGCAGCTGTAGGATTGTCAGAATGTTTCTAAGCAGAGATGCCATGATCCAGATATTGCTGAAAGGTTTTTGAGTCTGATATGCAGGGGCCCTAATTAATAATAATGTCCACAGCTTAAAAAACTTCACAGCAATCTGCAAGTTGCATCAGTGAGAGGTTTGAATTGCATGAGGCCCTGTTTATGTTGAGTATACAGGCATATGCCTGAGGCAAACTGCCTTGTAAACAAATGTTAAATTGGATCAGCAGTATTGCCAAAATATTTACTTGTTTTCCTTCTGGAGTCAGGTGGTTGAAACATCTCTTCCATGTTTTTATGGCACAGAGGTGGCCTGAAAGGAGAAGAAAGATGAAAACTAAGTAGTTTTGCAGGGCTTTGGCAAGGCATGCCAGGATAGACACAAATTTTGTCTAGGGTATGATTGATGGGTAAGTAGGCACAGAGGGCAGAGCTGACGGCTCCTTCCATGTTGATAATGCAGAATTTGACAGAACCTGTCAGTTCCTTGTTGTCAATTTGTTCTTGCCAGAGAAATGCTATTTGCCAGTTGTGCTTCAGAGGAGAGAACATCATTAGTCTTGGGTATATTCCATGTGATGAGCACTGTTCTCCATAATTTATAAACTGATGCTTGATTTTATTCATGATATTGAGTATTGTCCTCTTGAGAAAGATGCTCTCTCACCTCCAGTTCTGCTTCTTCCTCCTTGCTTAAAGGATACCTAGCGAGAGAGGAAGAGTCCCTTTTTTCCTCATCTCTTCTTTGGTTTGATTAGGAATTTTGCTGTTCTGTCAGATCTTGCAGGAATACATCCTCCAACATCAGAACAATATACAGAACTTCAAATAAAATTGCTGATGTTACCTTACTGTGTCCCTTTAAGTGAAACACACCATAGTGCAATGTTGGGTACTATTTAGAGACCAGGTCATTGGACAGAATATGCTGCTCTATGTCTAAGAAACTCTGGAAATTTTCAAGCACAGGAAAATTGATTTTATGAAATAAAAAAAGAAAAGCCTACTGACCTTGCCACCGAACCTTGTTCAGTCTGTCAAGTCTGGAAAGACTGCAGGATGGCCTAAAACAAAGAATGAAAACTTTTGTCTTTGCAAAAGCAGCTCAGTTTTCTTTGGATGTGCAGTTAGTACTGTGAACAGTCAGACCTTTGAGAAGCAGTTGTTGGCCACTTGTTGTTGTATATCAGACCTGAATATCCAGGAAGCATGCAGGACACAGTGACCAAAAAAGTTACCTACCTTCTTTTCTGAGGTTTCCTTAGCTTAAGAAAAGCAGTCAGAACAAACGAGGTCCTATGATAAATTCTATATTTACCTCAGAGTTGAGGCAAAAGAGCAGGAAATTTTGGCATGAAACTGAGTGAATTATAGAAATAGGCAAAAAATTGAGAGGTAGCTGGTAGAGTTAATGAGAAGACAGATACTGTTTAAGACCACATTCCATCTGAGTCTATTCATTCCCTTTTGGCAGACCTTGAAGCTTCTCTGTTGATGGAAAGCTAATTTCTGAGGAGGTTCTGTTGAGAGCATCTCTGACTGTAGGAATTAAGTTACTTCAAATCTTTTCCTGTTCCCTGAAAACCCCAAATTACTCCACCACAGCACCCAAGATTCCTAATCTTTGTCTCAGAGGAAGTGTGTTGATTTAGCTGCTGCTGTGTATAGGTTCAAAGCATAGTCCTTTTTTCTTTATTTAAATTTACATTGTTGAAGTTTTCTAAGTCTGTGAAAACATTTTAAATTTTTTCCCTTCACCCAAGCCATTACTTCTTGTCAAACTAAGGTATAACTAAAATATGTTTTAAAAGTCTCTGTGTAGACATGGACCTGTCCAACTTAGTTTGTTCATTCAAATTGGCTGGGTAAAATTAAAAATTAATGAAAGTACACAACTGACACAAGAAACCTGGCAAGTAACAATAAACCTCATCAACTTAACATGCAATCATCCTGCTTAAAACCAATAAGCATGCTAAACAGGCAAGACAGGTTGCGTTGAGAATGATTATAGATTATCTTGTTGAAACGCACTCAAGCTGTAGTTTGACCAGTTTTATTTTAAAACCACTATTACCACAGAAAGGAGTCCCATGCTTGTGAACTTGCTGTTAGTTTCTACTCAGTACTGGTTTCTGTATCCTTCTCCACCCCCTTTCCCTGGTCCTTCTTGCACTGGGATTACTGGGTGACTGTAGGTGAGGCATTTGAGGAGCTCATGTACATAAGCAGGGGGGAAGCAGGAGGAAAAGCATCTGAGGGCTATTTTTCTACTCAGTGCCTCGATATTGTTTACCACACTCACCTGTGATGTTTCCAGTGCTATCCTATACTTGAAAGTAGGATGGGAAGAGGCAACTTAGAAGTGTTAAACCAGACACACACCTGAAATATGACGCCCTTTCTTCCATGTACATCCCCTGTGCTGAATTCATGGGCTTTGTGTCTAGATGAGGATGTTTAGCTGAAATATGCCCGCTCCTTGTTCTTGCAGATAGTGGTATGCAAATAAAACTTGAATATAGGCACCACTTGCTGCCTCAGAGCTACCAGGGAGCCTTAACTTTTGTCTTGATACCCATACCTTATTTTCTTCTTACATCTGCTTATCATGGGTTCAGCTGTTCTTTCTGTAATTAACATATCATAGCTAAAGGAGCCTCTTACTGGAAAAGATGAACAGTCTTCTGGAATAAAAGTGGACAGGCTGCTGTTGTTTAAAATGTAGGTAGTTTGTATGTACCTAAATCATAATGTTGATTTAAGTTTTAAATTAGAAAGCTGATGAGTCTTAAATTCCTGGAACACAGACCATCCTAAGCTAATCTCCATAAAGATGAATAAATTTGCCATGGGGGTAATTCAGTGTTTTGAGGAATACACGTTTTCTATTTATGAGCTTCAGATACTGATGCAGGAAGAAAATAGGAACTTAATTTCCATGAATACTACTAGTATGTGTGTGGGAATTCCCAAACTTCAAGGAAATTCAAAGAATTGGCAAGCCCTATGCTATTGTGACAACTCCTTTCTAATAGTAGCGCACATCTACATAGCACTTGACAGATGGGCTAGTTTGAGTACCAAGTTAAAAATGGCCACATTCCTGCATTTCTGGCTGGAGAAAGTCACACTGAATGAGGTGCTGGTGCTGCGCAGTTGCCAGAGAAATCCTCTTTTTCCTGCTGATGCTCTACAGCCACTACTGACACCCTGTGTGAGGTGATCCCCTGTGCAGGATCCTCTCTGCTTTGCAGCAGGGGTTGGCAGCAGTGCTTTCAGTCAGGGGATGTGGAAGCTGGATCATATTGTTTACTTCTGAAAATAGACTGAGTACCTCCAAAATCTGCCCCATAGCTGTAAGCAACAGGTCCTTGTATAACACATTCTGTGAATAATGACAGCAACCACTTCAAGGGGGAAAAAAGGATATGGGTGGAATAAAGGTAAGTTTCATAGGTCTTGGAGTGGGAAACTTTTTCTCTGTGGACAAACAGATGGCTTCCTTCACTGGAACTAAGAAGCTGATACTTGGGGCTTTTTCAGCTTCTCAAGCTTTCTGTCATCATGAATTGCAAGAGAAGAACAAAATGCCATTTCATGTTTGCATAGTATGCTTATAAAAAGTAATCTCTGTGATAAAGAATGCAGAAATTGGTGTATGGATCACTTTTGTCATGAAGGATCTCTATACTGCACTACAACAATACTGGTTCTTCAGTCTTTCGTTTAATATCCTTACCATTTTTTGCTTCTATCCAATAGGTAAGGCACAGAACTTCAGACCAGGTAATGGCTTTGAAGATGAACACATTGAACAGCAACAGAGCAAACATGCTGAAAGAGGTTCAGCTTATGAATAGACTCTCACATCCGAACATCTTAAGGTACACTGGCTTTTTTCTGAATCATACAGAGAGATTTAGTAGTGCTCTCCTCTTTCCAATTTTTATTTAGTTATTTTTTGTTCTAGGTTTATCTGTTGTGAATGTGTTAGGATCAATTCCTAATTTAATAGATGAATGGTAGAAAGAAGAAAAGACTTAAGAGAAAAAAACCAAACATGGACACGATTTTGGTATCTGGAGTTTGCCAGTAATGAGTAACTTTTGTCAGAGAAAAACAAATGCTCACATTTTAAATTTCTGATGAATCAATAAAGTGATATGAAGAGTGAAATTTGGCTTCTTTTTATGAATTTAAGTTGTTGCAAATTTAATACTACTCAACTAACTTATGGTTACTAATCTTAAAATTAAACAATGTAAAGTGTCGTAGCTATTTCTTATTCTTAGGTCTGATTCCTAGTTTTTAGGATTTTCTTATTGCAGTATTTCAAGGTGGGATAAGAAGAACCAAAGAAAAGAAGCTAGAGTTGAACTAATCTAATTTATATTCTCGTGGAAGGACAAGAGTAGTTCTTGCTTTGCATTAGATTACTGCATGCAAATCCAAAAGATTCCAATGTGTATCGTGTTGTTTCTTGAACCATATTAGTCTTGGTTTCTCTTCTATGGTGATGTGACAAGCAATTAACATAGTTGGCTGAAGCCATAACATTATGAAATTTAAAGATGTGACAACAGTGCACCAAATGACCAGTTCTCCCAAGCTGCTGTTGCACACCTGGAGTCCATTTCTGATCTCAGCTCTGTTTGAGAAGTTTTGAAGACACAGTGAACTCTGTTACTTAATTTCCTTTTCTTTGCCATTCTGTTATGTACTACAGACATAATACTGATTCCTAAAATCCTTAATAACCAGTTTTTCTGGCCTTGAAACCTATCTCAGTCTTCATCAATTGAATTGTAATAATATTATCCTGTGTGTTTCCTTCAGTATTTATGAGGACACATGTCAGAAGCATTTGAAATATCTGTAAGGAGCATTCCATTAATCCATGTCTGTTTTCTATTAGTCTCTTGTAAAACCTCAAAAACTTAAAGCATTATTACTCATAGTAAATTGTGTTGGTTTTATCATAATATATTTATTCAAGTGTTGTATCTATCCCTAAAAACAATTCCTAGTCTGTTTTCTCTGCTCCAAGGTGAGGTGCGTCTGTTTTGTTGTTGTTATTTTTTTATTATTTTTTTTAAATTATATCATCTACCTGGTTATTTAGATTTCAGGATCATTATTTGTGTCTTATATTTACCCCCCACATCTTTTCCTTTGTTTTTTTTCTGAATCCTGTGATAAGCAGTGTATCACCCTGGGGACTGATAAAGCTGCTTTTTTAGTAAGGTTTGTGGAAAGAAAATAAGATTGGCATTGTCAGAATCATCAATTCAGTATGCTTCATCAGTTTCTTTTGTGTCATTGGTAAGTCTTATTTAAAAAAAAAAATCTAGCTCTACAGCTCTCTTAAAAATCAAGAATTTAATTTGGGTTGGGATGAGGGAAAGTAGGAAAGGCATATATTGACAGGCCAGAAGCATTCGTTTGTACCTAAATGTAACCCTGTCCCCTCTTGAATGGAATTACATAGGTGTTGCTGAGAGCAAAAATAATTGTGCTCAGTCCTGAATAATTGCTGAAATTTAGGTGTCTCATGAAGTAAAAGAGATCATATTTGTGATGTATTGATCCCCTCTGGCCTTAGAGCCTATGAATAATTTGAAGTCAGCAGTGTTACACAGATGGTCCTGAAGGAAGAGCAATAATATATTGATTTATGTATGAAGAAGAAAAGGAATTTCATTTGTTCTTCCAGTTATTACCAGAGATTGACAGAGAAAGCTTTTTCTTTTTTGTGCTCAAGTAAGCAGTTATGAGTGAATACATCAGAAATAAATTACTTAAATAGAAAGGGTCTATCTTTGCACAGTTTGTTTAGAAGAGTAAACTGCATTTGATTTATGAATTGCTTGATTTGAGGCTTCTTCAAAAAAAAAGTAGGCTCTGGTAAAAAATACTGCCTTTTTCTTATCTGTTAGGTAAGTCCCCTTGCTACAGGGAGCAGTTTTTCCTACAGGCAATGCAAATAAGAAAACCATATTTAGTTGTAGTTGTTTTTTTATTGAATTACAATACACAATAAAAACTACTACTTTTGTGAAGGAGATAACTTGATGGTTTTGTGTGTTAATGATGTGTTGTTTAAGTTTTTGTTTAAATTTTACTGCAGTATTTCCAATTTCTTTATGTCTGGGAGATTTTGCCCCTCTTAAATGTTACCTGCCTATGTGTCTGTATATACCTGTATATAAATACACACATGCAAGCCTCTCTATTTAGATTTCATAAACATATAAATCCTTGGTGCTTCTACTAGTCTTGTGAAACAACCCGTTTCCCACTTTAGAAACACATAAAAAAATAATTAATAGAAATTTGTGCTTGAAGTGGTGAGAGGTTGTGTTGCTTGTTTGACAACATTGTGCTGTCAGATAAGAGCAGCTGGATCTGCTCTTATTGCTGAGAAGTTTTTAGGAAAATGTTCTGCTGCAATGTGTTCCCGCTGAAACATTTTCTGGGATTATTCTTAGAAATTTTAAGCTTGTATTAGTATTTAAAGGGAACATCCTCCTCAAAGAAGTTCTAATATATAACTTTTCCACAGGCTATGAGCTATCTCAGGTTGCTGTTAAATATTTTCTTGGCTTAATTTCTTTCCTTTGAAGTTCTTCTATGTTACTGAGTAAGGTGTTTTGTGACTAGCATCAAGTTCACTTCTCTATTGATTAGCCATTGGATCTCCTCCACATGCCTTGAAGGTGTCCTCTGATTTTTACATAATATATCTTTGAGCTTCTTCATCTTCTCTGAGCTCTGGGACTGCCTACTGTTAACTTCCTCTGTAAACAAGTTTCTTTTCTTCCTGTTGCTAGCCAGTATGGATAGTAATGGATTCTTAGGCTGAAATGTTGGGATCATATTGTGCAGTGGTTAATTGAAGCAGGTGAGGACTGTGAGGTGCTCTGCTATCAAATGGTGTGTAAAATTATGAAACTGGATAAATACTCACTTTACAGCCTCCAAAATGTGTTCTCAAACCATTTTAACATATATAGGATAGCAAGTTAATGTTTTAGAAAGCAAATGTCAGATTCAGCCATGAAGCATTTATTTTAGTACACTACAACTTCCTTAAACTGGGAGTGTGGTTGTGTTTTTGAACATCCTGATGTGTAATACCTCAAATTTGTTATTGAATCAGTGTTTCTATCTGCGAGCTCTTCTGTAGTTTATATAGTTAAGTGTTACGGAAGGGAGAAGAGGTTCTTCTACCTTGTAGTGCATTTGGCAGCCCAGGATCATCATTATCCTTTGGGTAACTAAAAAGACCATCCCTTTGCCAGTGCTCTAAAATATATAGCAACTTTTTACAAGCTGTCAATTCCAATGTGCCCACAGTTAACTTCAAGATGTTATTGTGAAGATTTTGGTATTTTTGCTGTTGATTGCTCTGATGTGACTAATGAATATTGCTGACTATTTGAAACTGCTTTTGCTTCTGTGCTGTCCATATCAACTCCTTTTCAGAGTTACAGATGCCTTTTGAGGTTTCTATCCAGACTGCGGTCGCTCTTCTGGAGTGTGAGTTTGTCAGTAGTTCCTGACTTCCTTCCATTCATTAGCTCTGCAGAGAGTACTTAAAGGCAGGTCTGTGTTTTTACCTTACAGATACTTTTGTACATCTATAGGAGATGGAATTGGGTCAAGGTATTTCAGTTTCTCTTGGTGAGTTTCAGTTTTACTTGGTGAAGTACTGATCTGGGTATTTAGGCTTTAAAAACAACAGGCTATATTTGCTATGGAGTGAAAGGCTAATTTTAAATCTCATTTCAGTATGTCTACACTCAAATTCTGTTCTCGGCTGATACAGATCCATCTTGATTAGAAGAGAGATGTAAGTGAAGAGCTTAGTTTTCACTTACCAAGTCCCCAGTAAGTCTACCATCCCCATGGTAGGATCATAAAGATTCCAGTGGTCAAATATATGTGTATATGTAAGTTTCTAATGTATTTTCCATGAAGAAAATGAGAGACTGCTCTCTATTAGGGGATTTATTTTGGCAAAAAATGGAACTTCTTTTTCAGTCTGTTAAGGATATTTTAGAATAGAAGACTCCAACTCTTGCAGCTACACAGGCATGATGGTAAAAAATAGGGGATTTGGGAGGTTTTTTTGTCTCCCTTCCTCTTGTTTCCTATTTCAGCTAGCAGATGTGATTCTGGAGGCAGAGTAGGTGTTAACTACAATGTAGTAACTTCTTGTTCAGTCACTGTCTGGTGTTTATAACAAACTATGTATGAGAGCTGCTTATCTTTCTGGTTTGCTGTTTTTTCCCCTGGGTCCAGGTTGGGAACATTTTAGGAGTGGACAGGGCAAAAGCAGACAAATGGTGTTCAAGGAGGGTTTTCTTCTGTTTCTACCATCAACCTCATTTCCTATCTCCATTTCACTCCTGCATACAAGTTAAACATGGAGAATTAAAATGCTTTTCTACCTCTGATCTACATTTCTTCCTGCCTTGGATGTGGGATGTGCTGGTTTTATCATATCTTCCCTCAGACAGATGGTGAGAGGAGGTGTGGAAAAGTGAGCTGAGGCTGGGGTTTGTACCATGTGATGTTTACTATAGCCACTTTAATACAGGTTAACTGATATATGGCAAGACTGTAATTGCTGGGGTTAGGGAAAACAGGGGTTTGGAGCATTTCTCCACTTCCTTATTAGCTTGTGTTCTATTTAAAGTGCAGTGCTGTTCAAGGGTTGGGTTAGATCAAGTACCATGGCTGTGAAAGTTCTGGTGTATGTAGATGTGTTTTACCATTTTGTTACTTTTCTGAATACTGGTGTGCTGCTGTAGTCATGAATTTTTACCCAAATCAAAGTAAGAAAGCAGGTCTGGAAAAGATTCAAGAAATCTCTGTCCTTGCATCCTGAGCTTGTGAGCCTTCAGGCTACAGCCTGAGAGACCTGATAGCTTTTTTCTTTTTTTTTTTGGTAATATCTTACAGATGTGTTTTTCTCATACAAATGAAGTGGTGTGCTACCAATGGTTCTCCATCTCTTGTGCTGTCTCTTAAATTATTGTATCTTCAATTTTGAGGTAGAATTTCAGTATTTAATATCACTATTGTTTGCATGAAAAAGTATTTCTTTATTTGATCTGTACCTTGGGGACTTAATTTAAAACATTCTGTACACAGAAAGTCTTAGCTCATGTCTTAAGTGCTCTCGTGGGAGCACTTGGAGGTATTGCTGCATGTTTGGCTGTGAGCATGCAGGCAGATTGACTCATTGATTAAATCCACCTTCTTGTGTGTGCAGGCACACAAATAAGCTCACTGTGCAATAAGCTCACTGTGTGCATATTCCATGAACTCCTTTCAAGGAGAATTTTATTTCATCCCCTTTGAGACAAATCTATCACCCTGGGAACACAATACTGGGGATTTTTTTTTCTCGTGTGTAGTTTTATCCTTTCAAACCTTCCTTTTTGTAAAATTACTTGTGATGGACTTTGTTACAATAGCCAGAAGGATGGATGTTGTCCTTTAACATCCTTTGTCCTGTAGTGAACAGCGCTTTAACAGGAAAGAAAATTGCTTTTGCTTCTCTTTGTTTAGTGTGGTTATCAAAAAGGGGTATTTTAGAAATACAGTGTACAAGGCAGCAGAAGAGATGTTGTATGTGTTGTGTGTGTATTACAGGAATGATAGATTAAATGCCTTACCTCTGTCTAGAATCAAGGTGCAAGTGTAGAAAACTTAAAATACATTTTTAATCTAGCATGGTGCCTAAACCATTAAGGAGGGCATTAATGCAGGCTTAATATTTTTATTTGCCCTCTTCTTTCTCCAACAGTCAGTGCAATGAAATAAGCATGTGTCTTCTGACCTTTTGTCTCTGTTACTGAGCTTGTACTAGAGGCTTTTGCATTGGTGTATTTGCTTTCTTTTGTTTAATGTTATCAAAGTGCTGACTTTTCTCATTACAAGCAGTAAATTTTGGAGGGCACTGATTTCTTTTGTTGAACTGTAGCTGCCCCAGGTTTATCCACAGAACAGGAATGTGTCCCAGTGAAGCTCCTTTAACTGGAAGCATGTGTTCAGTGTCTGGATAGCCACAGAAGCTGTATGATCTGGGTATTAGTTTTGCTTGATAAATTAAGGCAAAGATTGCACACTGAGGCTACAGTATTTAGTCTCCCCTTTTCTGTCCAAGATTTTCTCCTTTGCCATTTGACTGAACTGAAAGTAGTTTGTGTAACCACTGACGGACTAAGAAATACACAGACTTCTCTTGGCCTTGTTTAGGAGGGCAGGTTTTCCAGATTGATCATTCATAAAAGGAGATTTCCAACATGTGTATAGATTGCTGACATTTGTTAGAAAGCATTTGGTAGTGGAAATATGCTGTACTGTGTTTAGTTAGGTGGACTCAAGTATCATCCTTTCTATTTGCAGCTCCTAAGAAAACTTTTCCAATCAGATTTTGGAAGTGTTTCAGCTCGCTGATAAGGCCAGATACTGTCGTGAAAACAGACTTCCTTAAACCTGCAAATGGTCTCCTGTTTTGTAGATGATTGGCTTATTGGAGCTCCTTCCAGCTCGAAATGCTTATAGGAAGTGTAACCTTTGGCTGACAAGACATTCTGCTGAAGTTCACCTACAAGCACATTTTGGCTCAGGAGACAGTGTGTCTAGCCAACAGGAATAATCTCAGCTGTGCTGGACCAGCATGTCAGCTTCCTATCCACAGAACTTGGAATCGCATCTGGGGCGATCTCAGAAATTGAAACCATGTTAAATCTTGCTTGGTAATTGTATTTCCCAGTAGCAGCTGGGTGTATTATCTTTTAGTGAAAATCCTTTCCAACAATGTTTTGTAGCAGTTTTTGGCTTAACCAAGAGGCTTATTATTGCTTGATAAAACAGCTAAGCAGAAGTTTTCCAGGAATTTGGATTGCTAGAGGTCTGTTCTATGAATCTATTTTCCAGAGCCTGAAAACTGAGATTCATTCACGCAAAGTTTAAATTACTTCAGTAATGGCTTCAGAGTTTTCTGTAAACTCATTAATTCTGCTTTTATCAGTGTGTTTGGTTTCTCTTTTCCTGGGTAATAATTTCTAAGTATGTGGGGTTTATAAATGTATCTTTATATCCAGCTTTTTTTTCCATGAGATCATGATGTAGAGCTTTGTTTTTTTGGTTTTTGATTCTTAGTAGAAATCCTAAGCATTTGAGAATTTTTAAACTCTTACCCTTGGTAACTTGATTCCATGTCTCTTTGCTGCCTTAAGCATAGGTTCACAAAGGTAATGAATATGTTTCCATTGAGACTTCCCTTGACTAAAACAGGTTGGAGGAAAACATTACTTAAAGACTGGTAGAATTTAATGTTTTTCCAATTTGGTAAAGGAGAGACTAGAAATTAAATTTTTCCAAAATTTTAATAAATTCTTAAATGCATTTGAATTTTGGAATTAAGTCAAATACGATGAATTCTTAATTTGTAAGTAGTGTAATACACTTTCACAAAGGAAGAGTTGATCTATAGATGAAAACATGATTATTTTTAATTACTTAATCTTAGATTTTGTTGATTGAAAATATTGCCATCGCAGGCTAATTTTGTGTAATGGATAGAGAAACTAATACTTTGAAAAGTTGTCTTATAGAGGAATTAATATATTGGACTGCTGTGCTTTCCATTTTTGCTTGTGAATAAAGCCATTAACACCATGCTGATAGCTCTGGAGAATTTCAGAATGCACCAGGAAATAGATTTCTGCTCTGTAGAAATCTGTGTTTCTTCACCTTAGGAAACTTAATTTGTCAATTTCTTTACAAAATTGTTCACATGTTTATTACTGTATGAAGTGAAACTCAGAACAAGCAATGTTTTGAGTAGATGGTATATCTAAAACAATCTTCTTCCCTTTCCCTGACAACCTGATCATGCCCTATGATTCTATGTTAAACAAGAGGAATTGGATTTTCAGTGTCTCTCAAATCAAAATTCCCATATTTTGGGAATATTGTTTGAATGTTTGAGGTGAGAGCAGGCAGTAGAAGTTCTAATACAAGTCTTGCTGCTTCTTTGGTTATAAAAACAGATTTCCACAGCTCAGCTTATGCAAAGGACCTTACCTATATTATTTTTCTTTGGCTGCTTGTAATTTACCAGTCAGCTGCTTGACAAGAGAACAGTGAGGAGCATTCATTTCTTCAAAAGCGGCTTAGCTGAACTAGCACTACATGTCTTGCATCATTTTATTTTGTATTTAAATTCGGAAGTGTTTCAGGATATAAAAGGTCCTTTTCCTTTGAGTTGTCCACAAGATTCTCGTCACATTTAATGAGATCATACATGTCTACCTCTTATTTGCAAAATGGAAATTTCTGAACATTATGGAAATGACAGTTTGTTTTTGCTTGCTGAGACCAAAATCTAAATGCTAAAACTGAGAATTAATTAATCTGTAAAAAAAGAACACTTGAACTGTGGAGGGGAAGCTCTAAAGTGTTTAAAATTTCAGCTTTACTGAACTTTCTCATGGGAGATGTGTACAAGTAATATTAATTTGCATTTTGTCACATTTAGGTTCAGCTTGTATGGTGGTAAAACTGAGCTTTCAGTTGTTTATGGCACATCCTGTTGCTTTCCAGACAAACGAAGGGTGGCAATCATTACTATTAACAGCAGGAGTCTGAAAATTGTGCAGTGTAGGTAACGCTTGTGGGGTGTGTGTATACTGGATACTATTGAAACTTGCTTCAATCCAAGTGTTGAAAAGAGGAGTTTAGGGAGGGGAAGTATACATTGCATATGTGCCCTCATATTCCTGAGTGGTTAAGAATGGGATAGGAAAAAACATCTTTATGCTTAAACAGCAAAATGCAAAGGGAAGTAATTTTCTGTTTATGCAGACCAACAGTGGATTACTTGGCTTAAACTTCCTTAAAATAGGACTCTGGGACTGTTCCTTTCTGCATAAGTCATTGTATGCTGGCCTTTGCTTATAGTCAAATTAGTAACTTTCCATTTTGAGGTTGAGCTGTCTCCTGTGCTCTCTTGGAACTGTTAATTCAAATTGTATTGTGTAGATACATGATTTTGTTCTATGCTGAGATGTTTAAATAATCAATGGTGAAGTATGCAGCGTCTGTGAGGCTGAATTTTTTCTTTTTCCTCCTTTTTTGGTGTGTTCTATGTTAGTTTCTTTAAAGAACAAAAAAGAGGGGGGGGAAAAAAAGCCCAAACCACTTTTCTTTTCTTGTTTCTTGTAGGTTTATGGGTGTCTGTGTGCATAAAGGACAGCTGCACGCTCTTACTGAGGTAAGACTATTTCATAATATACATACTGAATATGAAATATTCAGTTCTCAGGACAGATTCTGCAATTGGTATTCACCTTGAGTGAAGTTTCTTTAATGATGACTGGTGAGTTAGTCACTCACTCTTTGTTGTGTTAAGGGAAGACTGCAGAGTCAGTCCTCAGAACTCTAGTCACAGCCCTTCTATGTCTTTTCTCCTCAGAAGCACTTATTGGGGTGAAAAAAAAATCACAGTAAGAACATAAAACTTCACTGATAATGTTCTAAACAAGAAACGTGCATTAACATTGAGGTAACCCTAAGTACTTACTTATTTCCGTGACATTGCATTGTATTTAAGTCTTAGTTATACTCCAGTTGTACATTTTGCAAGTGAATCAATAATGTTTCAGCTGTGTCATGTTATTGTATTTAGTCCCTACCACTTTCATATTGCAGCTTAATCTGGGTCCCATAAAAAGAAATTACTCCATTGCCCATGTACCCTGGCCAAGATCTAGGCATCAAATATGAAGCTGTAGTTTCCATTTGTACGAGTTCCCGCCCAGCTTTATTGGGTTGTTTATTTAATCCCCCTGTAAACTGCTCAGGAAAAACAAGAAGAGAGTATTCTCTTGTTAGGAATAGTATTGCCTGTTTTGAGTCAAAATCAATAAAATGCTTTGCCTGTTGTATTAGTTTGAGTACAGACTGAAAGGAAACTCATGGTTTGTAAAGTAAATGTTTCTTATTTACTTCTGTTTTGTAGGAACTGCTCAATTAAATGATTAACCCTTTTCCACCCTCCCAAAGACAAGTCTGTTATTAATTAGCAATTTAAGCAGGCTCTTGGTATGGTGTGCTTGCCAAGAACTGCTGTAAAATGAGGAAACTGGGGAGCTGTATGCCAATTAGCAGGATATGTGTCACCATCACTTTCTGTAACTTACAGATGCCAGTCTGAGGCAAAGATGCACATACGTGGGCATTGAATTTCTTCACCTTCTGGGGTGACAATTTTGCAGTTCTCATTCTAGCCGCTTTTGGAATGATGCACTCTGGTTCAGTGTCTGTATTTCTAGTGGAGCAAAGGTAAAGACACTTCCAGAAATGTCAAGATACAGCATATGTGTGAGCACTTTGCCATGAGAGGGACAGTTTATTTGATTTATTCTTACTGGGTTTTTTTTGGTTTTTTTCCCCCTCACTGTGCTCAGTAGAGGAAACATTTCTAAGATGGCTGATCAAGTTATTTAGGCAGGCTTTGCTAACATTATTGTTGATTTATTTTGGATCTCTGGTCAATTAAAACAGGGAGGTTTTGGGCTATTCCACTCACTAAACTTTATTGTGGAAGAGGTGGAGCTTCATAATGCTTTATCGTACTAAAACTTGGAAGATTTTGCTCAATGTGGCTTTGTTTGCTTTTTTTTCCCTTCCTTCACAGCAGTCGCTTGCCATTTAAATAACTCTCCCCACCCAAAAAGCCAAGAAAATGAAAACAGCACAGATGCTTCCTCATAGTGAGCTAACTTTGTAGCTGCTGTTTTGTTCAGCTATTTTTGAGTTCTTGGCAAGCAAATAAATCTAAGAAAGACTTCAAAGAATAACTTTTATAGTTATAATTCAGAATAACAGAAGAGATTCCTAAAGCATCTTGAGACCAAAAAGGTAGAGTTTTTGACTGAAGAAGTTTGCTGCAACATTTTGAGAAAGAGAATAGCTTCAGTGGTATATTTTAAGAGTATGATTAGAGATTACTTCTTTTCTTCTGTGGACAAAGGTGAGCATTTAGTGCCTTCAATAGGAAAATTAATGACAGAAATTGATGTTGTAGGGAATCCACACAAAATTTTGCCCAGTAACATAGCTATTCTTTGATTTTAGAGAGCTTTTAAAAGTTAAAAATAGTATATGTTTCAAGTGGTGGAATTGTCTTTTCTAGCAAAAGTAGTAGCATTTTTCATCTTGAAGTGTGTGTAGAGTAATAATTGAATTCTGAAGACTTCTGGAGGCTGAAGAAGGGGGCTGAAATAATGAGCTGAAGGAGTTATTAGTAAGACAGGGTGAATCACCAATTCAAATATAGCCCAGGAGCATAAACAAATTAGCCACTGTCTTGTGGCTTTTTTCAGCTTGTGGTCCACAAAGGTGGTCTCCTTGCCTCCAGTGCTCAGCATAGTTGAGATCAGCCTGGCGCTACAGGTGCTCAGAACTTCTGCCAGGGTTTCACTTCTTTGGAGATGAAACTGTTGATTCAGAGGCCCATTGGTCAATAGGAGTCTGAGTCACTGCAGACTCGCACTTGCCTGTGCTGGACCTGTTTTGTAATGAATTTAATTATCCCCTCTTGTGTTTTGAGAGTAGAGTTGATGATATGCCTATGTAAGTGGAATACAGCATCACTTAGAGCTTATGTCTGAGGGCAGCATGATGGGAAATCATGTTTATTTTATATATGTATATATTTCCATAACAGAAGAAGTTGAGAACTTGTACCAAATGTTTGGTGGCTGGATTTAGACAACTTGTGCTATTAACAGGCAAGGCAACCTCAAACACTGTTAGAAGAGCCTTGAGGATTTTGTAAGCCTCTTAAAGGGCTACATTAGGAATATGCAGCACTTTGTTATTGGAAGGCAGACTTCGAAGTATTTCAGATTTCTTTTCTTCCATGTTTACAGACACAGAAGGCTTAAACACAAGAGTGGATCACACAGAGCAAGTTTTTGCTTGAGGAAGGTGTTGATCCTATGTATGCCTTGGGATTTTCCCTTTTGGCAGCATTTTGTGTTGATTTAATTTTCCTCTCTCAAGTGGCTTTTGTTTTGAAAATTCTTGAGCAAGAGGCAGTTTCTGTTTGTTTTGGTTTGTTTTTTTCAAAATAAGGATGGAATTGTTTAATTATAGACTGCACTAGGACTTTGGCCTTGTTCTGAATCCACAGTCTTATCAGTTTTGATAATCCATTTTTTTTTTAAGTTCTTAAGCCAGAAACTATGGCATATGCCTCTTCTGAAGTAATTCAATATCCTTGGATTGACAGAATAGCTTAGGCTGCCAAGGACCTCTATCCCTGCAAGCACTAAGTTAAGAAACATCTAAGGAAAGCAAAGTAAATGCTTTAATAGGTGTATCACCCAGATGAGCTGGAAGGCATTAGATTGCCTCACTAATGTTGAGCTCATGAGCACAGATTTGCCATGCTTGTTTTCTCTAAAACCAGAAACTGGGTATTCCTTTCTCAGCAATCAGCTCTTAATCTGAAGCTGTCGTTTGTTTCTTTAGCTACAGGAATCTGCAGTGCTTCCTGCTGTACTCACATGCCTCTCCAAACTAATTCTGGCCTTTCCCTCAGGCCTCTCTGTGTTTTCCATCCACTTTCCTAATCTGACAACTCTCTTCACTTCCATTTCCTGGCACACTGCAGTATCGTAAGTCTCGGAGAAACTTGCATATTAGTAGAGTCTCTGGTGTCGGCATGGGATGCTGCTGAGCATTCAGAGGCCAGATCAGCGCTGCTGCCAGACAAGCAAACAGTGTGTGCTCAGGGGACATGGAGCCAGTGGGGAACAGCTGTGGCTCAATAGCAATTGTGTATGATTTTATCCCATACACATCTACCATGGAATGGCTGCATGAGTGAACATCCATTTTAGATGGGAGGCAAACAAATTTATTTGTGTGTTGTAGGTTTTATAGGCCTGTGCTATCATACTGAAGCAGGTAACATAGCAGCATGAAGTCTAGCAATAAAAGCCACTTAATACCTTCTTGCAGATCTTGAATTGTTTGTTGAACTCAGTTAAACAGGTCTAAGAGGCAGGTCAGGCTAAAATCTTGCTATAATTAGATGTATATTTATATATACACAGAATGTGTCATGCAGCTTGATAATTCCTTGAAAGAAATGAAAGCCTTGGCGATTTTGTGTATAGAAGGTGAGGAATGGGAAGTTGTGTTGATTGGGATATCTTGAAATTGTAGTGCTTTGGGGACAATAGTCAATTGTTGTAACAGAAGTTTTATGGCTATTAATTCATACTGATGATAGTAAAAATGTGTGCAAATGCACTGTTGCCATAATCTGATTTCTCTGTGTGGGATCTGACTTGCATTGGAACTTTCTCAGGCAGAGGGCAGGACTGTTGCAGTGTGATAGGAGCACATGGTAGCTGATGGAGGAGTAGGGCAGTATCATTTCAGCCAGCTGTGCGAGCTGAGAGTTGCCTGACATGCTCTTCTGAAGTCTTTCGGCTTTGGTCTTTGCTGATGATCTGCAGTCAGACCCATGGAACACCTGATAGCACACTGGCTACTTGGAGTGGAATCAGAAGCACTGAGTGTAGTTGGGCAGCCATAGTTTTCAGGTGCTCTTACATGTGGCACCTGAACAAGGGCTAAAGCTTATTGTAATGAAAATGCCAATGTCCTTTGAAAAGAGAGGGTTTTTTCAGTAAGTTCTTTGGTGATAACTGAAAACTTTCCTTCCCAACAGCAATAATTTAAGTAAACAATAAGTGCAATTAGTGGAGTTTCAGTTTTTGGAGACCTTCCTTTTATAAGCATTATTTCTTTTACTTTTGGAGATAGTACTTAGTAGAAAGAAAAAATATTAAAAGCTTAAAAATCTCAGAATTGTTTCAGGTCTGCTGAGTTGCCCTTTCACAAGGAATAGAAAGGAAGTTCTTAAAATGAGAAGGTTCTTCTGATATACATCTTTCACAAGCAGAATAAGACATTAAAAGTATTTAATTTATATTTTTTCCTCCCCTCAGTTCTTGGTTGTCTTTCTGTGGAGAGTCTTTGACCCTAGAATGGAGAAAACCAGACAGACATCACTTCGGTCTCCTCTTCTGAAGCTTTATGCTACAGCTAAAATTGTAGTCATGCATTGCCTTCCAGATGGCAATTGCACACTAGTGAGAGTTTTAAAAAGGTCTGAAATACCATTCCTTCCCTGCTCCCTTCTTTCCTTATCTCCTGTAAGACTCTCTAATCCCTACTTTAGTTCCACCAGTG